CAGGTTCCTAACTCGGTCATGGTATTTTTTTGGATCAAAGGCTCGCATTCCAGATTGATTGAAAATCTAGCTGAAGTATGTTTGAGGTCTGGGCATGTGGTTTGTGGGGACATGGTGGTCTTTACCCATTTATGTGAAACTACAGGAATGCGTTTTGAGAAACATATGTATATATATCTTTCTATACTATATATACTCGTGGAATAAACAAAAAAGAAAGGGGTTGAGCGATTTACAGATTTAAAACGAAAGGACGGAGACCAAAATAGTAAGGATGCCAGCTAGAACACGAGCTTTGCAGGTGCTACGGTCTTGAATATGGAGCCTCAGGAGGCGAGGGAGAGAAGATGAACAGTGAGGGTGTGATTCAGAAAATGGGTTTTGAATGGGCACAAAAACGGCGGGACTTTTCAAACGTTTTTTGATAAACGTGGGACAACTGTCGCAGTTTGAAGAATCAATAGACATGTGCCACGTGTCACAGACAGGACATAATGTCAGGTACGTGAAGCGACGGGTTGTGGCAGGTACGGAACTAAAGGCCGAGCTAACCCAGCTCGGTGGGGTTGAATATTTTAATCTCGATGGAATTACTTGTTTTAGTTCGGTTGGCTTGGATGTTTTAGCTCGGATGGAGAAGAATAATCCCAAATCATGCGTTGTAGATGGAATTAAGGGGCAATTGAGAGGATAATTTATGTTTGAACATGGGCCGAGCTAGGACCAGATGGGAAATGGGCCGAGCTATGGGTAGAGGTAGTGGCTTATATAGCCCGGTCCTTGATCTCGTCAGTTAGGTCAAGGTTGTGTGCCAGTAGCCTAGTCTTGGTGCTCTGAACCGAGATATAGGTGAAAGAGAACCGAGCTGGATGAAAGGACAAGGCAGAGCCGAGCTAAGTGAGCGCGGTTAAATCTGTTGTAAGGTGTGGCAGTGTTAGCTCTGTTGTTTTGCTACCAAACCGCAGTGGAACCATTTCACTTGGTTAAGCAGTGAGGAGGGTATAAAAAGATAAGCATTATCTTTGTGATTCCTAGGAGGACTCTACTAAAGAGGGTTGAAGTCCTACTAGAATTATGCTAGGCGGAAACTATAAAAGCTCATAACAGGATCTATGTACAGATATCCCAATTCTTACTCTGGAATACACAAGCTTTTGTGTCTATTGTCTATTTGCTGACTTAGGCATCGAAGAGATTTCTAACACATATCCGCCAGTTAGTTCACGTTTGTATTTTCAGGTGACAAAGCGACAACGTTTGGAGGAGTGCAAACTTGATCAACAGGATTATATGAGAAGATTATTTATGTGCTCGTATATAATATTAAACTTATTAAGTTTTTAAGTTAAGTTGAAACAACCTATTACTTTGATTGATAAGTTTATATACACTATAGAAAATAAACTGCCTATTAATCTGATCGATAAGTTTATATACACTATAAAAAATAAATTACTTGAACTTGATTCATGTTTGACTCATTCAAAGTTCATTTAAAATTAATTTATTATATAAATAAATTAAATTTAAATAATACACTACTCAGTTTGACTATTTTTATTAGCCATATTTGGTAGCTCAACATTTCATTATGTTGTGAGAAGACATCATTAGTTGGCACAAAACTGTGGTAAACATGATTCATTAATTTTCTTTTTTTTCCTTTTCTTTATTTTTTAATTTAATGTTTCTTTATTTTTTAATGCTAATAAACACAAATTTAAACTAACGTGTATCTGACTATATTATTATTATAGTTGGAAGGTTGGTGTTGAATGGTCCAAACAAACAAAACAAAAACCAAAAAAATAAATTTATTTTATTTGTAAATAATGAAAATAAAAAATAAGATGATTGACACATGAAGAATTCACAAACCAGACTTTATAAAGTGCTCTAATTTGTCCAAATGGCCCCATGCTTTGACTTTTAATTTGTGAAGTTTTGAATTTTGGATAACTTCAGGTTTAAAGTGGACTATGTTCATTTCATATGTTTAAAAAATCACAGAAATTTAATAAATAAGCTGAAAATTATTTTATCTTAAGAAATAAAATTTCAAAATCGAGTTATAAAAAATCTCAAATTTGCCCTTACTTTATTTTAACTTTCCCAAAAGCCACACTAATAAGACTGAGGTGGGTTCGGAGTTGGAAATTTTGAAATTTTTTTGATCAAACTAAATTATAAAACTGATGTGTATTTTTTATTTAAATTTTTTTATCAAATTAATTTAAATTTTTATTTTTTTTCTTTCAAAAAAATGTTTGTGTAAATCTACTACAAACATACAAATAGCCTAGGGTGGCAAAATTGACATGAGGACTCCTTTTTATTTTTTTATTATTTATAAAAAATAAAAAAATATGATTCAAAGCAGTGCACTCCACGTAGTTTACGCAATTTTAATAAATTTGTTGTCAAATGAAATTGCATGTTATAAAAGAACTGACGTAGAGAATCACATTCTTTTTGTTTTTTCAGGTAATGGAATCAAATTTTAACGAAATCCCAATTTTTTTAACCTTTTTTGATTTGATTGGTGAGAACAATGAATGTGCAATACTACATTGGACGCACTGGAGCAAGGTGGACTTCGTATCACAAACACATTTAGAGTAAAAAGACAAAAATTATTCTTATCAAAGTAACTAGTATACAAAATAAAATAAAATAAATATTTCAATTTACACCTTAGTTAAAACTTTAGGACAAATTTCACTATCATCTTTGAGTTTTAAAAAAATTTACAGTAAGTTTAGGCATAGTTTAGGAAGTTGGTTTTGGTGGGTTAGGGGCTAAAATAGTTACAAAAAATAAAATAGACTATTTTAGTCACAAAAAACAAAACATCAAATCTAATCCATAATCATTACACTCATCTCTTACAAAAAAAGTTAAAAAAGCTAAAAAGTCAAAAAGCCTTTCTAAAACCAGGCTTTTTAACCCCAGGCTAAAATAGCCAAAAAGTCAAAAAGTCAACCCACTTCCCAAACGGAGGCTTAATAAGTTTAGTGTAATTACACTGATTCCTCTTTTAATATCTTCTCTATTTTAAAATTTTAAAATATAGAGAATAAATATGAATAATTGTAAGAATATAAAGATATAAGTTGATCTATGTTATGATGCAAATAAAAAATGTGACAACATAAATTCTACTTACACTTTTATAGTTTATAAATATTTTTTTATTTATTCCTAATGATTTACTATTTCTCGTTCTTTTATAATTATTTTAGTTTATTCCTGATTATTTGCTAGTTTCCCTTGGCTTGGTTTCAATTGTATATCTTCTAAATTATCACATCTTTTTTCTTTCAATCATAAAGTATCAACTTTGTGTATTTGATTATTAAAGTTTTTAATTTCAATTCATGTAGTCCAATTGAAAATGATAGTACAAATTGAAATTTGAATAATTTAGTTATACAATCAAATACACAAAAAATTGCTTATGGGATGTAGTTTATTCAAATTTTAAAATATTTTACCTATCAAATCAAATTTAAACTACTATTGATTCATACAATCATTTCAAATTAGACTACATGAACCAAAATTAGGAACTTTGATAATGGGAAAAAGTAATAATAATTTAGATAATAAAAATGTAAAATTAACCATTTTCTTGTCTATTTTAGGAAAATCATTACTCAATAAAAAGTGAAGGAAAAATTATCAAAAAGTGAAAATCTTTTGAGAGTACAACTCTTTCTGCGTAAAAAGGATAAAAAATATAAAAATAAAATTTATATCATATAAAAATAAAATTTATATCCCATAAAGTAATTAAAAAATTATTAAAAAAATTAACTATTTCAATAGTTTATATATCATTTTATAAAAAATTCAAAAATTAAAAAAATAATTAATTCTCAAAATAATCTTAATTTTTTTTTGGGACCGAAAACAATCCTAAGGGTCTATTTGGGAAGAGCTATTCCAAGTTTTTTTTTGGTTATTTTAGTCACAAAAAATAAAATATTCTATTTTAGCCATAAAAAACAAAACATCACATCCAACCCATAATCATTACACTCTTCTTTCACAAAAAAGTCAAAAAAATCAAAATTTTTTTTTCCAAATCAAACTTTTAACTTAAATTAAAAAAACTAAAAAAATCAAAAATCAAAAAGTCAATCCACTTCCTAAACATAGGCTAAGTTAGAAATGTACTTCTATTTTTGCCAAAAATTACGTATCTTTGTTGACACGTGTAACGTGTAATTCAACTAACACTCCCAGATGATCACGCGCGCACGTGCGGTTACTGTCTCTCCACGCGTACACCCACCCACGCACCACCCTCCCTTTGCATTTCCGTAATTTTTCCCTCGTCCAAGGTCCAAAAAACAAACCCTAGCTTCCCGATAATTTTTGTATACTATTAAGATATATGTTATGTAATGCCTTTTATTATTTTGATTGGTTTTGGATTTAAGGGTTATTTGAAAATTATCTAAAAAATATATTTTTTATTTTTTTAAAATTTTTTCATAAAAAATTAAAAAATATATTTAATATTTTCTAAACAATTTCTTCTATTAAATATTAAAAAAATAATATTCTGATGGATAAATTATAAATATATTTTTTGAGATTTGCTTAAAATATGAATTGTCTCTTGTGATTTGAAAAATTACAAATATCTTTTTGTCAGAATTTTTTATTTAACAGAATTAATTGAAAAAATAAGATTTTAAACTGTTTACTTATACAACAATAAAATTATCTGAATAATTAATTTAAATAAAATTTTAACATTATTAAAAATAGTTAATTAACTTGATAATTTATTAATAAAAAATAACCTATTTATTATAAAATTAAAAACTTGAAAAAGCATAATATAATTTTTAAGACTATAAAAAATAATTTATAATTTAAATAAACTTTTGTAATTTATCCTATTATGATCGATGGAAGTATCACATGGTAACCGGTTCGTATAGAAAACTTTTTCCAACTTCCCTAACCACATCTTCCCTCTACTTGAATGCAAACTTTGCATCGTTACAGCAAAAGTCGGTGACGCCGCCTACGTGGCACCATCACGTTCGTCTGTCTCCACTATAAATACCCCTCGTCTCTCCGGGTACCTTGCCTCACTGCCCGCCTCCATAGCCCCCTCTCTCTCTCTCTCTCTCTCTCTCTCTCTGACTCAGAGCTCGCTATAGGGTTTCCTCGTCTCTGTCTTTCTCTCTCTCTAGATCTCTTTCGCCCTCTACATATATATACGTACATGTATTGTGTTTATAGGTGATGTTATTGCGGCGGTCTCTAATTCGCTTGGTGCAGGTCGGGAACTGCTTCGCCACCGGTGGCGGCGGCGGCGGCGGCGGCGGAGATGGGTGGTTTGGTGGTGGCGAATTGGATCCCGCCTTGCATCAACTGAATCGGAGACCGCGGTGAATGTGAGGATGTTTTCTTCAGATCTTGGACAGTTTGGATTTGAATTAGTTGCTGATTGCATGGATTGGTTGGAGATCGAGTGGATTCATTCATTTCTAGGTTTGGATTTCATTGCATGTTATTCAAATTTGGATCTGTAGCTGTAGATTTGAGCAAAGAAGTTTTTGGCTTCTTTGTTCGAATTGATTCGGGTTTGGATCTGGGCCTTTTCTCGATTCCATAGCTAATTCACTAGGAGCAGAGATTTTCATTGCTAATGTCTTAGAAAGTTAATTTTTTTTTGCTTCATGTTTGTGCTATAATTGAATTTTTGGACTATGGATAATTGTTGATACAGTCGCTTAAAAGATGTCTAAAAAGAAAGAAAAGTTATTTATTACTTATTTTAGAATTAGTTCGTCGAATGAATTTGGATCCTTGTTAGATTTTGTTTTATTTTTAGATTCCAAAACCCAGTTGCTACAGTTTGGTGCTGTTCTTTTTCTTTTTTCTTATTTTTCTTTAATCTAGGATTGTAGGTTTACATAACTATAAGTTGAAAATTGTGCTTAGCTGCATTTGTTGTGATATACAGCTCTGTTTATTCAATAGGAGTTCCTTTTGTTGGCTATTAATTGGTGCTGTTTATATGCATTTTTGTTTGATCATTGAGCATGGAAAAAAGTAATTATCATAGCTGTGATTAGTGTTTGCTATGGTGCTGAATGTGGAACATATATTGGACTGCGTTTTCGGGATTATTTGATTGAAAGGTGATGTCTTGTGAGATATGGTTATACTGGGTTGACAAAACTGCAAATTACCACTCATTTCCTATAGGCTCTGGGCTCAATTTGGGGATGATTCTGTGTCACGATGTCAGCCGTTGAACCGGCTAGTTTTGTTTGTTTACTATGGGTGGGGTTTTGTTTTAAGATTCATTTCTGGGATCCTATTTCCCTTAGACTTTGATATAATTTTATTCTGATATAGTTAAATTGATATTGTTCTTTACTGGAAGAATTTTGTCCTTGCTATATATATATATAATTTTTTTTCTAGTATTGCTATATTTTTCATGCTATTGGTGGTTTTGTCTAAGGGATATTCATTTTGATTAATGTTGTGTGAAATGCGATGTGCTTCAAACAATTGGTTTCTCTTGATCATGCTTAAGCTTCACTAATATCAATTGTTCAAACCTGCACAATGGTGATATTATAAAAATCACAACCTTTACTTTCCTTGTCTATTCTGAATGGACTGTTGTCAACTTATGTATATGCTACATGCCACACATTCCCCTTCATTTTAATCCCACTTTTCCCTTTGCAGTTCTTTATGAGGTTCAAATGAAAACCCATTTAAAACAGTACTTGAAAAATCAAACCAAATAGAGCCCTTGTTCTCTTGTTTTTCTTTTTCAAATTCTTTGGCCAGTTTTGTAATATTCTCATTTTAGATAAGTGCGACCCTTTGTTGTGTGCATGCAATTAATCATTTTTGTCTTTTTTCTCCTGGTTATATTGAATGGAAGGAGAGAAGAGGGAAATGTAGTGGAAGAGAGGCTGGGCTTCTTTTATAGAAAGTGGTCACTTGGCAGACTTTGGTGGAACAGGCTTAATATTAGAAAGAGACACCATCTGTGAGATCAAGTAGTGGTGATGTTCACCAAGGTCTTTTTACCTAGATTCATCACTCTTCCTGACAAACCCCATTGGCTTGGCTCTCCTCTTGGTAACTTCTCCCCCAAAAGCTGCCTATGACATCATCACTACTGGGGAGATTCCTCAAATTCCTTGGGCCTGCATTTGGAAACATAAAATCCCTCAAAAGCTCGAGAATGGGGTTACTGCTGTGCTAAATGGGGGCATAGCAGTAACTGTTGTGCCTCAATTTGAGGTTTATTACGGGTTTATTTTTATGATATGAACCATTCATTTTGTAGGGTTCGTCAAGTATTTCATGCCTATCAAAAATTATATTCATCAGATATCAATAACTATGTGATCGCATTGCATATTTTTTATGCTATTTCTAAAAAGAAAAACTTATTGTTTATTTTTTTATGATAAATGTATTTCGATCATATAGTTATTGATATCCGATTAATGTGATTTTTGGTAGACATGAAGGACTCAACGAACCCTACAAAATAAACGGTTCGGATCATAAAAATAAATCCATAGTAAACCTCAAATTGAGGCATAACTTTGGCACAGTAGTAACCCCTCTCTTCAAAAGCCCAAGGGCTTCCTCTGGCTTGTTATGCGTGGCAGGCTTCTCACCAACCAACTCAGAGTTACTTGAGGTCTTGATTTTATTGATGACTGCCCTAGATGCAATACCCAAGTGGAAAACTCGAGTCACCTCTTTAGAGACTGCTTTTACTCAAAGGAGATGTTGACAAAAATCAAAAGTGATCAGTGGTATAAGGATGGCATTGATAAACCTGTGCCTTCGTGATAAATCTAAACATAGCAATGGTATTAATTGGATTACTTGGTTCACTGTCACTCTTTGGCAAATTTGGAAAGCAGCTAAAAACAAAATTATTTTTGTAAACTGCCCTATGTCCACTAAAGACAGTTTGCACCAAGTGTTCCAATATACTCAAGAGATCAATGAGTCTTTTCAATGCCCCCTTAGCACTGATCAAAGAGGTCATAAACTAATTAATTGGCTGCCTCCTTGGGCAGGGAAAATCAACCTAAATGCTGATAGTTGCGCTAAAACTGATTGGGGTAAAGCAGGATTTAGAGGCCTCTTCAAGGATGAGAAGAAATCATGGATTCTAGGCTACTCAGGAAAACTGGATGCGGCAACCTGTCTTGAAGCTGAAATCTGGGCCATATACTGTGGCACAACCATCATCCATGAGAAAGGATGCAAGGTGTTGAGATTGAGACGGACTGTCAAGAGCAGTAAATCTGATTCAAAATGGTGTTCACCCAAACTGCCCATACAGAGCATTAGTGGAAGATACGAAATTCTTGACTCAGAATGTGATGAATGATCAAACACATCTTTTGCGAAGCCAGCAAGAGCGCTGATGCACTTGCACAAATTGGAGTTGATCAGCAAGAAGTTCTGGAAATCTATGAAGACCCACCTAGCTCAATTAGGCCCTTTCTTGTAGCTGACCTCGTTGGTCTTGTGTATGAGAGGGATTAATTCCCTCATTATCTTTATCTTTGCTTGTAATGACTCTTTGCTTCAATTAACTTTCCTTTTCACCAAAAAGAAAGGAAAAGAAAGAAGTAACAGTGATGTTGGAAATACCATCATGCTAAACGTTATGACTTGAAAATGGTGGGTGGTGGACACTAGAGCATTTTAAATATTTTACTTGAAATCAACATTTTTTGGTACCAATGAAATTACGTACGTGGATGAAGATGCTGGGAGGTCTATAAATATTTTAGTCCATCTTTTTGTCAGACTTTTTCCTTGAGAAATAATTGAAAAGTATAATTTTGAGCATTTATTTTCCCCACATTTTATTCTGGTTGGTAATTGGGTGCAGTTAACTTTCAATCTCTGAGAAGGAATTCAGGGTATATTGGACTCTGGTATTTTGAGAGAGAGTTTGAATTGAATATCATTTTTCTTCACTTTGGATGCATTTGAGAGATTGTTATTAATTGCTGTGGTTATTTCTTATGCACCCTGTACAGAACCCTCACCCCTCCATTACAACCTTCTCATGGTCAGTGGTGTAGCTAGGATTTGAGTTTATAACAAGTAACCATCAATATTATTGTCACATTTAGATTCTACACAACTCATTCAAAATTAACTTTTATATAACACACTGTAATTTTATATGTTGAAGTAATTTAAACTTGTTAAATTACAGATAAAAATAATTTTTTTACGTAGTACACTATAATTTTATATATTTTCAATCACATCAGCAAAAATAATATAAACTTGTTAAATTACATATAAAAATAAAATTGGGACATTAATACTATTGATTCAACAAAAATAAGTAGAAATCTACATTTAGATAATCGTTCATGGCGAGTTTTCATTTTTGAAACCACTATATGATAAGGTTATTACTTAAGCTATCAAACATTTTTTTCTCAATATATCTACCAAAATAATCATTCAATCAACCATCACTTTGAATTTAAATGGGGAAGGGGGGAATCGCTTATTCGGTTTTTCATGAATTGCATTGCAATGAAAGATCAATTGTAATTGTCATTGGCAGAATAAGAATAAAAACTCTCTAGTATTTATCTAAGAACACCTCCAATCCTTAAGCCTTTTTTCTATGATAAAGTACTTGAAAAATATTTCTAATGATTTCATCAAATATTTATCAAATCGAGAAAAAAAATATTTTTTTCATCAAATTTGACGAAAATGAAAATTTTGGGATGAGAGGAAAATTTCTATAAAAAAAAAGTAACAAAGGATGGGAGATGCTCTAATTTCACTGGTTCATATTGTAACATCCGAAACATTTTGAGTAAATTTCTACATTTGCTAAAAGAAAATTTCAAGATTGAGACTATAGCTCCTGAACAGCAGATAGACAGAGACCACAAAATTTCCATAAGACATCTAGAGAGTTATCCCCTGATTTCCTCATTCCAATTTCCATGGCTCAGTGATGATATTTTATAGAGTTTGAACACACAGACTTTCTGTAGAGGTTTTTTTCGTCGTCTATTCCCTATACAATAATACATTGGTCTATCAAATAACTCGTGGACACTCCATGGGTTGTGGATTGGAGTTAAATTATTGCTGTTGCATCGCTTAGGTAGAAGATCAAGTAGATGACTCAATTTTTAGGTCTGATTTGGTTTTACTCTTGTTTGCATCTGCAAATTGATTTTTTTTGGTTCTGTAACGGTCGAATTTGGGAAACCGGTGGAGCTATGGACTACTTGATGATGCAATGTCGATAATACCAAATCAGCAATAAAAAGTACTTTTTTTTTTCTTTGGATCTGTAACATATAACTTACCCCTTTTTTTTTTTTTTTTTTTTTTTTTTTGGCATTTACCAATAGGTTCCATACACACAATTCAAAACTCATTTGGTTCCAAAACAAAACACTTGCACCAATTACTCTTATATAATTTTAATTGTTTTCAAAAAAATTTATTTTATTTTAATTTTTAAATTTAAAGACACTACCACACTTCATTACCGTCTAATTTTCGTTAGATGATCGCCAGAGGCTCGGCGAAATATTTAACATTACCAAGAAATCATTGGAGGATCACCGAAAATTCGTTAGAGTATCACTAGAATTTTCTAAACGTCATTGGAAGTTGTCTGGATGTCAATATTTCTAAAGACTCACCAGAATGTCCAAAATATTGTAAAAAAAGAAAAGAATAAATGAAGAAATTAGAACGAAAAAACATAACAAAATGTGCTAAATATTGATAAATTAAAAGAAAAAAATGTAATAAGAATTAACAATAACAATGGGAAAAAAAATAAGTTATTTTTTAATTTTTGTAGGGTTTAAACAAATAATCTCTAATATTAATTAAATTGAAAAACAAGATTTGAAACTGTAAAATTGTTATAGTTTCAAAGTATGATTCTATTAAGTATTTCTCTTTATTAATCAAACTCGTAATACTGTAAAATTTTACAATTTTAAAGCATGATTTATTTCAGCACAAAAAAAAAAAAAATTGAAACTGAATTTTTTTTTATCATTTTCACCGCTTGTAATTAAAACTAAAAAAAAACTTGTTCAGAATTTAAAAATTTTCTTCATTAAAATAGGAAAAAAGAAATGTGGAGTAGATAAAAAGTAAAAAAATTCAGAGATCAAAGGAGAAAGAAAGATATAGAGAGCGGATTGTACTATGATAACTATTTTTGGTTTAGATCTGGCCAGATTTGATTTAGATTTACTAAGAACTAAGTAGATCTAATCATCTTGTTCGTCGAAAATTTATCTTTTTCTCCGTCAATGAAGACAGCAAGGAATCAGTAATTTGTGATTGTCGGTGAACCTCCATCAATAATGATCGCCGGTCATTAATGAGCATTAAAAAAAAAGGAAAAAAGAAGGAGCTTTAAAACCTCATAATTTGATGACTGTATACACTCCTTCCACATCCCTTAAATCATAGAACTCATTTCCATTAACGAGATCTACCTGACATAGACGAAGATTGGGCCACATCATGCGAGGATCTCGTGAAACTCTCTTAGCTTTATTATAAACACAGAAAGTAATAAGTGTGTTTGATTTTAGTTTTTTGAGTTCAATTTTTTTAAAATTGAGTTTTTTTATTTTTTATTTTTATTTTTTGTTTTTAATGAATATTTTAAAAATTGTAAATAGTTTTTTTTTTTAAATTTTTTTAGATGTACCTTACTTAGATGTATCTAAATAGTAAATATTTGTGAAAAAATATTTTAAAAAATTAATAAATATACAAAAATACAAAAAATGTACTGAATTTATATATATATATATATATATTATATTTTTGATATTTAGTGAATTTTTTTTAAAAAATTCACAAATATTATACATTTTAAGTGTATGTATGTTAGATGTGTCTAAAAATTAAAAAAATCACTTAAAATATTAAATTTTTTTTAATGAAAATAGAAAAATACGAAAAATAAAAAAATAAAATTTTTTAATGGTTGCACGACTTTCGGATCTATTAAAAAATTATGGGACTAAATAGCGTGTAACCTTTAGAAATAGGATACACGGATAATTTGTCCTTTGGGGCACTTAGAGCATCTCCAACAGTAATAGGTATTTTACCTATCTAAATATTACTATAAAGTATATATTTTATTTTGCCTATCAACTGTTTTATGTTTTTACTCCAACCATGCTCTTTATTTTAGCTATTTATCCAAATACTATTAATTTTATAGACAGCCACGTCAACAACAAAGATGGAGGGAAATGATCTTAATGATTGAATACATTTTGCCTAGCGTTGAAGGCTAGCTACATGTAGCTAGTAAATATGAGTTAAGCCAAAATGCCTAATTACATGCCTAGTGCATTGGAATTGAAAAAAGCGAATTACACTAGGCATTTTAACTAACAAATATTATATGCCTAGTGCAATTAGTCATACATGTTTTTAATTGTCACTAAAAATAAAAATCACTTTTTTCGTGCAATTTAAAGATGCTGCTATAGCTCACCACCGCCAAATTTTTGTCAGACGATCACCGAAGGCTCATCAAAATATTCAACATCATTGAGAAGTCACTGGAGTATCACCAGAATGTTTTAAACGTCACTAAAAGTGGTCGGAATGCCTAGAACATCAATAACATTGTTGTAAACTTATTGAAATGTCTAGAATATTGTTCCCCCAAAAAAGAATAAATGAAGAAATTAGAGCGAAAAAATATAACAAAATGTGCTAAATATTGATAAATGAAAAAAAAAAAAAAAAATATATATATAAAATATATATATATATATATATAACAACAATTAACAGCAACAGTGAGGAAAAACATAAAATATTTTTTGATTTTTGAGGGTTTAAGCAAATAATCTCCTATATTAATCAAACTGAAAAATAAGATTTGAAACTGTACAATTGTTGTAGTTTTAAAATATGATTCTATTAAATATTTCTCCTTATTAATCAAACTGAAAAACATGTTATGAAATTACAAAATTTTACAGTTTTAAAGCATGTCATGAAATTGCAAAATTTTATAAATTTAAAACATGATTCATTTTAGCACCCAAAAAATTAAAATTGGAAAATTTTATAATTTTTACCGCCTGTAACTAAAATTTGAAAAAAACTTGTTTAGAATTTAAAAAATTTCTCCATTAAAATAGGAAAAAAAAAGTATATAGCAAAGAATAAGTAAAAAAATTGAGAGATCGAAAGAGAAAGAAAAAATAAAGAAATAATTGTATTTCGGCAACTATTTTGGGTTTAGATCTGACCGAATTTGATGTGAATCTACTCAGATCTTAGTAAATCTAAATCATATCAGAGTAGATCCATTCATTTTGTTAGTCGAAAACTTATCTTCTTCACCGTCGATGAGGGTGAAATAAGGAGTCGATGGTCGATAAGTGTAAGTAAATCCAAATCGATAGTAGTCATTGATCGCCAGTAAAACCCTACAACTTTAGAACTGTATACTGTCCTTTCACATCTCTTAAATCATAGAAGTCATTTGCATCATATAACCGAATAAGATCTCCCTAACATAGACGAAGATCGGACCACATCATCGGAGGATCTCGTGAAAGTCTCCTAACTTTAGTATAAACATAGAAAGCAATACCTTTGAGAATGAAAAGCTCACTGAGAGCTGACTTGTTTTGGGTATTTCAAAAACATTACGAGACTATCGAGTATAATTTTTTGAAGCAGGACACGCTTGTAATTTGTCCTTATTTTTATTTTTTGTTATCTCTATACTACTAAAATATATACTGCCTCACCTTATTTTGTTAGTTTATTTATAGGAATTTTAACTTTTTTTTGGGGAATATGTAATTATTACATTTGAATTTAAATTTTAAAACATTTATTGCAAGAATGCCTTTTTGTTGATAAAAAAAAAATAGAGATAATAACATTTATTTTCTTATTATTTACACGATTAACAAGTTATTTATAAAAAATGTGAATTAAAACTTAAAAAAAGCACTAGTATAATTATGTGAAAAAAATAGATTAATCACCTTGTTTGGTTTTCGAAGATTGAGCTAATTTTTCATAAAATTGAATTTTTTTTATTTTTCATATTTTTTTGTTTTTAGTCAAAAATTTTAATATTTTAAATTTTTTATTTTTTATTTTTAGATACACCTAACCAAAAAAATTCATCAAATACAAAAAAAAAAAAAAATCAGTACATTTTTGCATTTTGTGTATTTATTAAAATATTTTTTCAAAAATATTTTAGGTGCATCTAGAAAATAATTTTTTTAAAAAAAATACTAAAAGAATTCACTAAAAATAAAATAAAAAAACAAGAAAAATTAAAAAAAAACCTCAATTTTCAAAAAATCAATCAAAACTAAATAAGGTGAATTGCATTTACTATAAGTTATCAACCACTTAAAAATTACATTACAATTTACTGAATTTACTGCCAAAATTAACCATTTATGTTTCATGCATTAAAATGATCAAAATCCAACTTTCAATGAGAGAGTGAAAGACTACCTCAACCTAACTAAAACCCTATAAATGCTTCATATCCTCTTCTCTTCTGTCTGTCACACACAAAACCAAAAATGGTACCACCACCACCAAGCCCTCTGTCATTCTCCGTGAGACGATGCAAACCAGAACTACTCACTCCGGCGAAACCAACGCCGCGAGAGTTAAAGCAACTCTCTGATATCGGCGACCAACAAGGCCACCGGTGTCATATTCGGATCATAATGTTCTACAAGAATAGAATCAAAGAAACAGAACATCATCATCATCATATCAGAGGCTAAAGCACTTGTGCTTTACTATCCGCTCGCTGGAAGGCTTATCGAAGAGCCTAACAAATAACTTACAATGGACTGCACCGGCGAAGGCATTTTGCTGGTCAAGGCCGAAGCAAATGTCAGCCTCGACCAGCTTGGCGACTTCGTCCGGCCACCGTGTCCCTATGCTAAGGAGTTTCTGTATGATGTCCCTGGCTCTGGTGGGATCACGGAATGCCCTTTTTTGTTGGTACAGGTGAGTAAAATTCAAGAATAATATCAAATCAGTGTTAGTTTGAACAACTAATTATAAATAAGTACCAAACTTTATAAATATTAATAATTATGATTATAATTTTTTCATGAATCTACAATTATTTTTTGAAAAGTTCATGTAATTTTCCCTTAAATTTAAGTACTACAGAACCTGTGGTCTACCGTGGCTTCGTCCATGTAGTAGAGAGATGGGTAGGCTGTCTTTCATCTTTTACACCAAATAAATAAATAAATATGATAATCATAGTTTCATTATATTTATTTTCAAAAAATATACCATAATTACGAGTTTTTAAAAAAACAAATATGATTAATTGATATGGCTACTATATTATTAAATCAATTTAACCAGCTCAGTAACCCATCCCAGTGATGAGTGGTCAATTATTGCTTATTGAGACATGTATTTCTACTTTGTTTTTTTTTGGTGATTATTGGACTTGTGGTAAGCGTTATTAAACTTTAATTACTCCTTTTTTTTTTTATAATTGATTTTCTATCAATTGGCCAATTTTTTTAAAATCAATTTAATTTTATATAAATAATTTATATGTATATATAAACTTACAAAACAAATTATTCAAATAACTATTTTTTCATAAATAATATACATATACAGACTTACAAAATATATAATTTGGATAAACTAGAAAAAAAAAGGGGGAATTTTTTTTAAGGTCCCTAATAATAGTAATTTAGAGGATAAAGGACACAAAAAAAAAGAGTGATGCATCAGGTCCCTGAACAACATGACGCACATTTTTAATTATTTTGTGGATCAAAATACCCTTCACAAAAACAATACAGAGACGAAACTGATTCCGACGACTGAGTTCCATTCCAAGCATCCAACCATCTTTACGAACAAGAGAACAGCAGAACTAGGGTTTCAATATCATCTTCACTATCGACATTAGAGTTTCGTTATCTTCTACAAAAATCATTCTCGTTCCTTCCTCACAAATTTCTCTGACCCCGTTTTCACTGTTTATCGTCATCTCAGTTCATCTTCGTCACGTCGCATCTTCATCTCAGGGCATATCAGCTCGTCATTGAAGTTTTATCCTAACTCTGGTAAGTTTTTCTATAACACAACTAGTTTTTCTCTGGACACACAGTTAATTGCATTTTGTATTAACCTTCCATAAATTAGGGTTTCAATTTCGTAATAAAAAGCAACATGAATTTGAAAAAAGTTATTTTGTGTGTTTTGAACTTATTCTTGAACATGTTTGTGTGATTTTATCGGTACATTTATCTGGCATTTGAATTTCTCTAGTTTTTGCTTGATGTATGTTTCTTCTTTCAATTTTCTCTGGCATGTTTATTTTGAAAAGAGCGATTTCTCTGTCTATTTCTCTGTGTTTTCATCTTATTCTTGAACATGTTTATGTGATTTTGTCTATAAATTTCTCTGATCTGTAAATTTCTCTGTAATATGTATTTTTAATTGGAATGTCTATCTTTCTCTAGAATGTCTATTACTCTCTTATCTCTGTCTAAGTTTTTTTGGTATTTATAATTTTCTCTGACCACATCACTTTCCTCCCTTATGTGTCTCTATCATGTTTAATTTTCTCTGGTTGTGTATGTAAATTTCTCTGGCATTTTAATATTATGGGCTGTAATGTATGTTTCTTCTTTGAATTTTCTCTAGCATGTTTATTTTGAAAAAAAGTTATTTCTCCGTGTTTTGATCTTATTCTTGAACATGTTTATGTGATTTTGTCTATAAATTTCTCTACTTTGTAAATTTCTCTGGAATATGTATTTTTCTCTGGAATGTCTATTACTCTCTTGTCTGTGTCTAAGTTTCTCTGGCATTTATAATTTTCTCTGGCCACATCACTTTTCTCCCTTGTGTGTCTCTATCATGTTTAATTTTCTCTAGTTGTATGTGTAAATTTCTCTAGCATTTTAATATTATGGACTTGAATTTTTCTCTGGAATGGAAATTTTCTCAATAATGTGTAATTTTCTCTGGTATGTTTATTTTGTTCAATTTTTGGTTTCAATGTGATATAATTTTCAGTGGCATGTTTACATTACTTTGTTTATTTTATCTTGCTAATTGTGGAATGTAAATTTTCTTTGGTTTTCCATATTTACTTTTCTCTATCATTCATTTTCTGTACTTGCTAGATATATGTTTCTTTTTTCAATTTTCTCTGGTTATATTTTACTTCTATATGTAATTTTAACAATTACTGAAAATTTCTCTGCCATGTTTATGATGCTTTGTTGATTTTCTCTGGCAATGGAAATTTTCTGTGGCTAGATGTATTTCACAGGAAAACAATTAGTACTCTGACATTTAATTTTTAGTGTCTGATTTTGTCTGACATTTATAATTTTTCCTAGCCACCTTAGTTTTCTCCCTTATGTGTAATTTTCTCTGACATGTCCAATTTTCTTTGGTATATTCAATTTTCTCTGAGATTTAATGTTGACATATTTATGTTTTCATCATTGTCTAGAAATGGCAAAACGTAAAAGTAGCAAAACATCGAAAACACCAAGCAAGAAACAAAAACTCTCTCAGTCTTCTTATGATCGAAGATAAAAAACCAGCCGCAAAACACCGGAAACACCAAGGAAGAAACATGAACTCTCTCAGTCTTCCAATGATCTAAGATAAAAAACCAGTAGCAAAACACCGCAAACTCCTTGCCAAAATACACAAGTCCAAGGTGATGAACCAACTAGCATCAAGATGAGTACTCAAACTTCAAAAGACTCAAGCTCAAGAGAGAAAAAACCTGTTAAACTCCAAAGAAAGAGAGCTCACTACAACATTCAATACCGATTCAACCTCTCATCTGTTATCTCATTTTTTCAAACACTTAAATTCAATTCAAACTAACTTGTAGAGCTTCAAAAGACCCCATTCTGGTATTTGATCCAAGCTCTAACAATTGGAAGGATGGATCCAAGGAAATCTAGAAAATTTGATGATGATGTAGTTGCAATAATCCAATGTTACAATGAAAAAACAAAAGCATTCATAGTTGGTAAAAAGAACTTGACCTTTACAACCAATGACATGACCTTGATTTTTGGTTTGCAAGGAGGTAAATGAGCCATGTCATTAAGATACTCTAAAAAGCCAAAATCTACATTCCTAAGGAGAAGATTCCAAAAGGACATAAGGCTCATTGGTCCTGTTCTTAAAAATGCCTTGGTCAAAGCAATGAAAGGCAAGCAACCAACTAACTTCAAAGATGTAGCAATCATTATTACATTGTACTTGTGTCTCACCCTATTTTTTGCAACAAGTGGGAATTCAATGGGGTGCGTTTTTATAAAGTATGTGGAACTTCTTGAATCAATGAAATAGTATGATTGACCAGAAACAATCACATCAACATTGATTGATTCTATCATAGCATTGCACAAAACTTTAGAAAAAGTTACGAGGTGTGTCATTGCATTGCTGGTAAGTATAATATCCATTCAAATTTGCAGTTATCATACTTATAAATTTGTGTGTTTAGCAAAATTTAATTACTTTAATTTTCATCACAGTATTGGCTCTGTGAACATGCAAATATCATTGACTCGGAAGACAGTAACACAACTGATTTCCCAAGATGTGCCAAGTGGAATTTGCAAACCTTGACGAAACAGCTGCAGAAGACACCAGTCCACTCTCTTGCACCTCGACAGGTTAGATTTCTATCGCCACTGAAATCTTAGTGAAATTCTCAAATTTCTCTGACCACTGGTTTGTTTCCATCCTTGTGCCTTGATTGATTGAGATCAATTTTCTCTGAACTATCAATTTATGTTTCTTCTTTGGTTACCACTGGTTTATTTCTGCCATTGTAATCATTTTTCTTTGCAATCCAAATTTCTCTGACCACAATTGTAACACATTAACTTATATGCCCTGATTGATTTTCTCTAATATTTGAATTATGTTGGTTGTTTCATAATTTTCTCTGGCTCATAAAATTGTTTCTCCTTGTGTGTAATTTTCTCTGGCCCATAACTTTTCCGCCTTGCATCTTTGATTAACACTGTTTATTACTACCATTCTAATGAATTTTTTCTGGAATCCAAATTTCTCTGACACAATTATAGTAAATCATTAACTTATATGCCTTGATTGATTTTTTCTGATATCTAAATTATGTTACTCGTTTCATAATTTTTTCTGCCTCATAAAATTAACTCATTGTCTATAATTTTCTCTGGCCCATACAATTTTCTCTGAAGTTTGTTTCCCATTAGTATCATTTAGATGAATTTTATTTTCCATATTTGAATTTTTTTCTCTCAGTGAATTTTGTAACATTTCTCTAATAAAAGAGCCTCTTGTTACAGATAGATAACAAGGAGCTAGTTAAAAACCCATCAGAGGAGTTCTGTCTTGGTAAAAAGAAGAAGAAAGAATAAAAAAAAGGCAATTGTCAAATTCAAGGAGACATTAGAAGATTCATCTGAAGAATGAGGGAATGAAGAAGCAGAAGGCAACATAGAAGAACACGAAACCAGCAATGAACAAGAAGATCAAGCAAGCAGTGGAGAAGCGGAAGCCAAAGAAGAAAGTGAAGAAATAGAAGTAGAAGACAAAAAAGAAAATGAACAGAAAGAAGAAGACAGTGAAGAAGAAGATGAAGGCACTCAATCTAAACAGAAAGAAGAAAACAATGAGGAAAGTGACGAAGAAGAACATAATGAGCTAATGAAGCAATATCATGATAGTATTTGTGGCTCAACAATGCATCAGCCTCAAGAATCTGAGGAATCAAAAGATGCCCAAATTGCTGATTTACATCAAAGACTAAAGGCACTTTCTAAATCTAAAATAGAAGAAGAGAGAAATTGGAATGAATTACTTGCAGAAAATGATATTGCAATAAGAACCTTGACATCACTTAACTCAGAACTTCAAGAAAGAGACAACACAATCCAAATGAAACTAAGGATGTTGGAGGTTCAAAAAGAAGATGATACAAAAACAATACAGCAGTTGACGTATTCAATTTCGGAGCTTGAAACTGAAATTGCTAAATTGCATGAACAAATTCAAGAACTATCCGTCCAACTAGCAATACAACCTTACCGAACACCAACACAAGTTCAACCACAAGGTCAGTGAAAATCTTGAGCCACAAAAATCTATGTCCTTGTATCAACATAACTCAGAGAAATTTCTATTTATTATAATTTTCTCTGTCAATGATAATTTTTTCTGGAAGTTAAATTTCTCTGAACACATTAGTTTCTGTTGCTTATTTCTTTTGATTTCTACTGCTTATTTGATTTTTTCTGTCTATTTCGTATTCGATTTTTGGGACTTGTTTGATTTTCACTGTGTATAGTTGGAATGCAAGTGGAACAACAACCAACAACCCAACAAGAACAAATGGCACACAAAGAACAATCAAAACAAAAGACAAAAGTCTATGGTAACAGAAAAATATTGAATCAAATAAATTTACATATTGAAATATCATCTGTTACTTCAGAGAAATTTCACTTTTACTGATATTTTCACTGTCTATAGTCAAAAAAGATTCTACATCAATGATAAAAAATTTAAAGGCAAAAGAAAGGAAAAAAAAGCAGCACAATCCGGAATTTTAATATCCCAAAGTTGCGAAAGTGACTAGAGGTTCGAAGCAAGCTGCAAAGCAAACCGAGCAAAACACGAAAGACAAAGAAGTACTTGATGCTGATGCGTACGTCTTGCCTCAACTAACAAGCATCAGAAAATCTTGGGTTTTTCCACAAACTCTACCGGTTTCAAGATTGATAAAAAATAATGTAAAAGACATCTTGCGGCACATATAAAATGTGTCTGGAATTGAGTAAGTACAACAAATAAAATAGAAGATAACAAACAACAATTTACTAACTTATATTGCATTAACAACTATTAAATCCCTTCTTTGGCATCTTGTAGGGTTTTAATCTGGACAAGTGAGTTGAATCTCATTACCTTCGAAGACATTGGAAACCTAATAAAGCAAAAAGAAATTGCCAACAATGTAAGTCTTTTATCAAAATTTCTCTACAATTAGGGGTGAGCATGGTCCGGATTGGACTGGATTGGGGTAAAATCAGGACCAATCCGTTATCTACGGTTCCTGAAAAATTGGAACTAATCCAATCCGTTTAAATCATGGAACCAATCTGAACCAATCCATTTAAATACGGATTGGATCGGTTTAGGACCACGGATTCACATAATTCAATAACAAATATATATATATATATATATATGACACTTTAATTTCATAAAAATATAAACATAGCGCTATATCAGTTCCATAATAGCAACATGTTTTTTTTATAATAGTGACATACTGTTCTTGAATTTAAACAACCATAAGAAAATACAAACAAAAGTAATAAAATAAGATATTATACGGTTTTAGGTTTGAGTTTAGATTTTATATAGAATAAGAGAAGATACTATAGGGGAGGATGTATAATAAAAATATAGACTATTTGTATACAGTCCGGATCGGTTCCAATCCGGAACCGTGGGGTTCAATTCGGAACCAATCCGTGGACTATAGATTTTTAATTCTTCAATCCGGAACCGAACCGTGGATTCAAAAAACCAATCCAAACCTATCGGATTGGACTGGACTGAATTGGATTACGGATTTCACGGATTCCTTGCTCAGCCCTATCTGCAATGTTCCATCAGCCTTTATAAACCAATATTACAATTATAAATGATATTTTTCAGGTCATTGATGGCTATGGAGAGATCCTTTTTGCTGACCAAAGGAGAGAGAAAACAACCAACTTCATTTTTTTTCACATCTATGAGCTTAGTATGTTACTAGTCTTTTATTTTATTTTCTCTAGAATTTACTTACTACTTTCTCTTGTTAAGATACTTCTTGATGCCAGTTGTGTCACTAGTCTAATTTTCTTTGGCTAGTTGTGTGCATTTAAAATTTCTCTGTGTGTATATTTCTTAAATTCCTGTCATTTCAACTTTCTCATAACATAACCATTTTTTGATTTTCTCTGACCACAGAATTTCATCAAGATGACGGCAAATCAAACTTTCCGAGTCTCATTATTTGACAAGCATATTGAAACAGCATGGAGGAACTACAGATTCCTTCATTTCCCAATAAATACTGGGGGTAATGAGAAGTCAACACATGATAATCACTGGACCTTGCTTGTCCTGGACAAACAAGACAATTTATGGAGGTTCTACAGCTCACTAAGGCCAAGGAGGGATTATGCAGAAGACAAATATATTAAAGATGCAAAATAATTGGTAACGAGTGCAAATTTCTCTGATCTATCATAATGTTTATGTGATGGTAATTTTCATAGAATCCCATTGATTTGTCTGTAAATTTCTCTGTTATTTAAAAATTATTTTTTTGCAGCAAAATTATGTGGAGAATTTTTTGAAAGCTTGCCTTGAAAGTGTCACGACCCAAACCCGGCCCTATGGGTTTAGCACCGTAACCGGCCAGTAATCCGAGATTACCGAAGGCCTGCTGAACAGTAATACAGTAAAACAGAGTACAGGGCCTGGCGGAAGCCAATACAGTAAATAAATAATGTCCATTGAGCTGTGACAGTCTGTATGCCAAAAAGATTTTTCATACATTTATACATAACAGTACAGAACAGTATGCACGATATTTACAAGCATTCAGATTAGGGACTCGACCCTATATAACGGTACAGTAACATACAGTCTATACAGAACGGTAAAACAGTACAGAAGGGGGAATTCTTAAAACACTGGTGAGGTACTGGGTCTAATAAACTTCTTGTCTAACAGTTCTTGCAACTGCGCCTTCAATTCTTTCAGTTCAGTTGGAGCCATTCGGTAGGGAGCTTTAGAAACTGGCTGTGTTCCGGGAATCACGTCCACGGTGAATTCAATCTCCCTGTCAATCAAATCCCCTGGAA